TTTATGGATGATTTTTCAGTGTTTGGAACTTCATTTGACTCATGTCTAGAACATTTATCAAAATTTCTTAAGCGCTGTGAAGAAACAAATTTAGTCCTTAATTGGGCAAAATATCATTTTATGGTAGCAGGAGAAATTGTATTAGAACATAAAATATCAGAAAATTGTATGGAAATAGATCCTGTTAAAATTCAAGTGATCGCTAATTTACCTTATCCAACAAATGTAAGTGAAATTATAAGTTTTTTAGGTCATGCTGGATTTTACAGACGATATATTAAAGACTTTTCAAAAATTGCTAAGCCTTTTATGTCATTTACTGAGAAAGATGTAATTTTCAAGTTTGATGAAGAGTGCCTAAAATCTTTTTAGTTATTAAAAAGATTTAGTCACTGCACCAATTATAGTTTCACCAGATTGGGTAAAACCTTTTGAACTGATGTTTGATGTTAGTCATTATGCTATTGGGGATGCTTTAGGACAAAGATATGATAAAATTTTCAAAGTAATTTACTATGCTAGTAAAACTCTTAATGAAACCCAAATTAATTGTACAACAATTGAAAAAAAGTTATTAGCGGTAGTATATGCCTTTGAAACATTTAGGGAAGTAAAATTTGATTATAGAAATGAGTAAAAAAATTAGTTAAAATTCGTAGTGATGAAGAAAAACTTTCGGTTAAATATTTTTAGTATAGAAAATGATAAATATAGTATAATTATCTTTAGTAATAAAAATTATATTTTTGATAAATTTAGAAATTTAGACTTTTATTTTTAATACTTCAAATTTTTTTATTAAAAATAATTTTCAAAATTATTATTATATTTATAAGTAAAAGATTTATATCAAGACTTTGCTTTAGGAAAGGAGAAGTGGAATTCAAAACCATTAAAGACCTATCTAGATATAGTAATCATTACCTAAAAAAGAAAAAAAATAAAAATAAAAATAAAAATAAAAGTAAGGGAGGAGAAGCTTGAGGATTAGTGCCTAATCAAAAATTAGTTCCACATTTGATATTTTTAAAGTATAAGACTTGAGAAACTCTTAAGCTTAGGAATATAATATGGTAAGTAAAATTATGCTTAAAAAAATTTTTTAAGTTTAGATAATAAAAGGACTAAATTCTATATTTGGAAAATCTATAATATTTTTGAATTAGATAGGAGCACCTGGAAAATCTACAATATTTTTGAATTAGATAGGAACACCTTTTTTCATATTTCTTAACATTAAAAATTTATAAACTTTAAGTTGGTCTCATTTACTAAATATTATTTCTAAATTGGACTATTATATTTCTAAATCTAAATTTTAGTAATTCCTAAAGAAACTCATATAAATAATCATACTTATTTAGTTTTTAAAGATTGAAGTGTCACTTGAGGACAAGTAATATTTTA